TTGATGCTCTATCTGTGCTGAAAATTTGAGCTTGATCGGTCGTACCGTCTTCGAGAATCAGAAAGTGTCAAAAAAGAGCGGGGGGGGGGGTACCCTTAATACATCATGTGCTTTATATGTAAACCATACGATTGGTGATATGAAGAAGCCAAATAAAGTGTAACTCTATCAGTGCTAGTGACCCTTCTATCTGAAATTGTCACACTGTTTGCATTCAACATGCACAAAATCTTGTGCGACTAATTTTTCAACATCACGTACTTGATAATCTTTTTTGGTAAACGATCAATTCACTTTTTTATCTGATCGATTGCAGACTATTCTATACACTGACAAAAAAAAATTTCACTAAAACATGTTGATACTGCAAGACGAACAAGGTAGTATACAACAAACGACTCAATATCCTAAAAGAATTATGGTGGAATTAGGTATATCTTAAAATAGTCTGACATTTCCAATTATATTTAAACCAAGTGAAATATTAGGACGTGAAAATTGTACTGAAAACTATCCTCCCACATACGCAATTTGAAGGTAAACAGCTTCTGAATGACGGTTTCATTTATTAACAAGATAACGGCACGTCACCTAAACATGAGTCATCATTAACATGGTGTGAAGAACATTCAATATGTCTTATTACCGATTGCAGATGATCACCAAACAGTCATAATCTCTATTTTTTCAATTGTTACATGTGGAAAAATATTATCATTAACTTTATACAGTGGCATAAAGTTAAAAACTATAATTCATTAATTGATGAAATAAGAAAAGGAATCCATCATATATCAATAAACGATCTTTTTAACAGTGTCCGGATTTGCTCGCTCAAATTTTTGTTCATTTTGAACATAAAAAGTAAAATTATACAATAAGCTATCTTTTGTCAAATTTAGAGCTTTTTGTGCTGCATCTTGTGACATTCTTTGTTTGAAATATATTTGAAATATAAAATGCGGTCGTTCATTATGCCTCACTTGTTATATTTTGTAGTAAGAATATGCACAGCTGCACATAAGTGAATGTAGATTATCACTACAATCTAAAAAAATATTAAAAATCGATTGACAATTGCATTATAATTACATATATAGTTAGCTTTGTATCTTTCTTGAACACTTCGACAAAAGGAGTAGCTCGATACAATGTATCAAAATAATAAAAGAAATTAATCTTCCAAAAGCAGGATTCTTGATTGAAAGACGGTATTTATGTATTAAGACTAGACTTATTAACGCACGTGACAAATACCTGTGAAGTTGGCGTTATGATTCAAAATTATAGATTGCATAAATTTATGCGATCTTTGGTTACAGTAGATGTTGTACTCATTTCACTATTTTTTATTGATGAATATGAATAAAAGCACGAAAGGCACATATTGTGACAGAACCAGTACCTCAGTGTTCCATTGAACACCGATATGTGTAGTCACAGTTCGATAAAGTCGATGCTAGTGAGGTCAGTATTCCAAGAGACTTCCTATTAGTAAAACACTGCCAGTATTTCACTGTTGGCATCGAAGCTACACATTCCTATGCGGAGGTGTTCTTAAGTTAAATAGCATTTTCGGATCGAATAGGCTTTACTTATTATCATATTAGATCCACGGATGAAAAATGAATTGAAAAACCAAGTAGGATAATAAATTTTGCTGAGTGCATTAGATGAAAACAGCCATTTCAGTAGATACACTTTCTTCAAGTTCTATAGCATTGACTTGGCAATGATTACCAATAAACTGTTCAATAACGAGCGAAAGTGTGAAGAATCTTTTTTCTTGTAGAACACATGCTAACGCCTTTACGACCTTTAGCAGCAGCGATGGACCCATTCAAGATGATTGGATCACCGTGCTTTGCTACCGGTAAAGATCTGTCGATGATGAACAATGCTCCTTTCATATTAATGCTGAATATATCACCGAACTCTGTATGAGATAAAAATATGAAACACAATGAAGCTTCGTATATTTTAAAAGAAGGGATTCAGCTACAATTTATCAGATTTTGAATTACTATATACTGATGCAGTACTTGGAGAACAAGTACGAAAACAAGTTACTGAAATTCCATTGTGTTTTTCAATTATTTGGCAATACACTTCAGTTTTCATACCTATGTCTGTCACGGTCTGTGAGAGTGGGGGGGGGGGGCGAGGAAAATGAATCCAAAATTTTACCTCTATACTTCAACATTTATTTTAGATCATGTTTTATAAAAGCAAAAACAGTGTATGTTCACTGAGGAAAATCTTTCTCGTGCCTCATAAAGATGCTAGTCGATGTTGGTTAAAAGTGAGTTATTTTAAGACTAATCAAAGGAGTAAAATCTGATACTGGATTTCGATATTAGAATAATCCAACTTCTTATGCAAAGAACTAGGATTATTAGTGTTCGATCTCATGTGAACTGAAATACTGAAAACCTATGAATAAAAACACATTTTGTATTTTTTTGATTTCCGATAAAACGCTGGTAGGACGAACAATGCGTACTGCCATATTCTTTTTTCTTCCTCTCTGCCGGCCTATGTCCACTCGCACAATAATGTTACAACAACAAAGTGTTTTTGATCCGAAATTCAACAATCTCATGGATTTAGCGAAATTGAATCTGAGAATGAAGCTTATGATAGAACTTCTAGAATTTTTAATTCGAGAGATTCATTATTTGAAAAAGAATGTTTCCGTTTTTAGAAATCAAAGCGTAGAATCTTTCTAGACTTTCGTGAGAGTCCAGTGTGGATCAATACTGCTTATGTAATCGCGAATCAAAACGTTTGATATTCCGTGAACTTTCAATGCGCCCCATCAAATTGTACATGGTGTAACGCAGAATGTATTGGTTACGACAGGAGAAGAAATTTATCTTTGATTGGTTTCGTTATGCCAAAGACTTGCTGTGATCTAATGAGTAAAAGGCTATTCTTAAAAATAAACACAACTTATACACACAATAGTATGCATAATAAGGTGTGATAGTAAAGGAGTATGCGCCAAGTTTAGAAGTATTCAGAAAAAGTCGGGACAATTCTGTAGGTAGATAGAGAGCTGCTGGTGGTTCATATGATGTGGGTCGATGACTTTCCTCTATGCATCGGCCAACCCACACCCTAAATCTATATTATATACGTTGTCTAATACTTGTTTAGCTTTTTCTGAATCGAGTGTTCCAGTAAGACCAAATAAATTCGACCCATATTTTGTAAAATATCCTCTATTTGATAGAAAATTAGTCGTAAAAGTTTCTAATGTCATTTTTAGGTTATGTTTTATTTGTAAAAATGGATGTAATCCATCGCTAAAATTCGAAGAACTCTGCACAATGCCTGTACTGTAATAATCTACTGGTTTTATCAAACATTCATGTACAATATAATGTATATTTTCTTGATAAATCAATGCCGTAATAGCGTTATCTATCCATTTAGGTATTTGTGTATTAACAAAGTCTACAAATTTTTTTCTCAATGAATGCTCTAATATAGTTTTCTAAATTTTTTTTAATAAACTCATCATCTTCATCATTTTCTGGAATACAAATCCTATATCACTTATATTCAAGGTAGTTGCTAAATAATTTTTCAAATCTGTAATGATAACAATATCTCCCTGTTCATTTACATATCCTAGAAGGATTCGATTTTGTTTGAACTTAATCTTTTCATAAAATAAATACAATCTGTCATCTAACTTACTAATTCTCTCTTGCATCGAAACTAGTTGGTTCCATATCAAGTGATATAGTATCTGTAGTTAATCCATGTCAGAGATACTCGATGCCAAACGTGCACATTTGAGCTTATCATCAATAAACATGCTATCTACTTCGTCGACAACAGCAAGTTCGCATTTTCTACCCGCTAATGTGTTAAGATCTGCATATTCCCTTGTCAAAGTATTAAATTGATATTGTGATACTTCTCTATGTCAGGTGGGTTTTTCTTTCACTATGCATCCACTTTTCAAATGAATTAACGATTCACTTTGTTTTATTTAACAATTGTTCAATAAAAAAAGCAAAGCATACATAGATGAAGTCATTCGAGATAAATTTCCAATGATTGTTTCTGGAGTATGACAACAACGCGATCTTTATTGAAGTTTCTGAATGGAAACGCTTGATGACGCTTTTCAATAACATGATCACGTAGATTTGAGTTGTCAAATACTATACCATTGACAAAATCTATTTTAAGATGAAGCAAATTGACCAATCCATCAAGAAGAATATCAACAAGACGTGCACATGTATCAAATGAATATACCTCAAATTGAATATTGGTAAGTGAGGAAAAACGTTGAACTAATTTTGATACATATTTTAAAGAAAAATAGACATTTTCTGTTAATAATTCTAGTCTTTGTAGTCGATTGAAAATGAAAATAAGAGATGAATTATCGAATAAAGCTGAAGACAGAAACAATTGAGTGCCAATCGTAAGTTCAGTGATATTTGAACATAGCCTACAAAAAAGCAAGATTTAAATATTAAATAATGAGTATTATTGATTTTCGTCCGAAAAAGACGAGATCCAGGTGTTTTCTCTACATACATCGAATGAGAATCATTCAAATTAAAACAAAATACTTCCTATCCTTATTAATACGATTTTGCTGAGATATGTCTATTTCAAAGCATACTACTCTGAATAAAACTTTAGGAATATGGGAAATTCCTAACTTACGCCGTAAAAGATTCAATTTGTGATTCTTTAAAGATTGTACTAAGTTCATGATTTCTTGATAATCAGCAAAATACATACACTTGAAAATTTGGCCATTTTAAGATGAATGTTTACAAGTCTTTTTTTCCTATCATTTTTCAGCAAAAAGCTTTAGATATTCATGCATTTACTGTATTTAGATTTGAATCTGCAGTTCAAAAAAAGCTTGACAATCAACTCTGTAGACTAGCATGCATAGAATCGACACAAAATTGAAAATTATAAAGTAAAATCATTCGAAATATCGTGCAGTTAACGCCTATCTGTCATCCGTAAAATGTGCAATCTTCATCACTATACTTTATACTGGAAAAAGTCTTTATAGCAAATTACTCAGATTCAATCTATTGAGCTTTGTCTGTAGTCAAAAGTTCTCAACTATTAAAAGATATTCTCTATAAAGTCAGTTCATCTCAAAATGAAATATATCATAGTGATTGACATAAAAATAAAATTTAACTTACAATAAGATCTGTTCAATACAATGAAGTTGAGATATATCATTTTTTGGTTCGAAATCTATTTTCTTTATTGTAGATAAATCTACATAACTCTTAAGTACATTGACACATTGTTTAGAGTCAATTTCATCATTTTCCTGATGATGCATAGAAACTAAATAAAGATAAATAAATGACATGTTTCAATTGCAATCTCAAGAAATTTATGAAAAAAATATTTTCTTCTTACTGAATTTCAATAAATTTTGTCCTAATGTTGATGTTGACTGTTGAAATACGATCACAAGTTGTTGAACATTTTGAAATGGTACAGAAGATGGTAGATTACCGGTCATTGCCATATTTATAGGTACAATAACTTCTAATTTTGTGTTATGTTGATGAAAATTGTGATATTGATCATCTGTTATTAATGTCGATTGTACATGCAATGTTCCAAGCACCATGCTTGATTCTAGAGAATTGCATTCTCGTCTATTAGTTGAATATGTTAGAGTTCGCAAACTGATATATTCTTCTGAAAAAAATACTCATATAAATCAATAATTGATTTTATTCAATAATATCGTTTTACCCGATTTTTCAGCCCAGAGTCTTGAACGTTCGATAGTCATATGCCAACCATCATAATGTGCAACAAAATATTGAAATGAATGAACAATATAATCCATGTTAATGAATGCTCGTATGCCGAATAGTCCAATAAGAAAATCAAATTTTTTTAAATTTGATGCATGACTCGTCAGTATCTGTTGCCATCCATAACCATCGAGCAAATCGTGAATATAACGAGAGATTTGTTTAGATGACGTAAGAGTGAAAACAAATTGGCGAAGATTAGGCATACAACGAAGGATAACACTAATTGAGTCAATATTGCACATTGTTGTTGTTTGTAAATCAAAAAATTTGAGATATGGAAGTACTGGTAAATTATCTTGGAAAGCTGTTGGTAAAGTTGGTGTACTAAACAGAAATAATGACTCGATGACTTTTTTTAATCTGTTTTCAATGATGAAAATATAATTGTCCGCAACCAATAGAATTCTATTTCAACATTAAAAGCCATCTTTCATTTTATGTATAACACAGAAACATAAAAATATTAGCAAGAACAAATATGAAGGAAGATTTTTTTCTATTTCCTTAGTTTATTACGAATTATATCTTTTTCTGTATCATTTATAACATAGATCCAATTACGGTTAAATATTTTTTGTTTCACATACTTTTGTTTAAATCCTAGTGTTACCATTGAAGAACGGAAAAGTTGTGCTAAATATGAAGTTCTTTTTATAGCTTGGCAAAAGAAAATACTTTCGTAGAAAATTCCATATGAAGACATCAGCATAGATTTTGGTTAAGACTACTGTACCACTATCAATCATAATAAGAACACTATTTATTTTCTTCTCTCAATTTGCAGATGATCTCAGAAAAAAAGGAAAGTAACAATTCATTTAGTTATAATTTTATGGAAAATAGTCAACATCAGATATATAATTGTGCATTAAGATATGATATTTTATTTTTCTTCTATTTCAATGACTGACTACATTGATGGCAATTTTCAATTTAGAAAAAAAAACAATGAAAATGAAGAACAACAAGCGAATTATCAGTAAACTTGTCAACGAAAATAAGGACGTCCATAACAGAAAGTAAAATCAGATTCGTTTTAAAACGTAAATTAAACACGACAGATCTTTACTCTGTTGAGAAATATAAGTGTTGTTAATACAACTACGTGTGTATATGCAGATTTCGATATTGGAAGGAAAGTTAATTTGTGAGCCGACTGTAGCAGTTTTCAAAATCGGTCTCATTAGATATATGGATTTTTACATGAAAACGAGATCTATGTATCATAATGCAAATCATGTTTATGATCTTTCTCACAGTAACTTCAATACTCCCATCGATAGTCTAATGCGAAATCATATCATTTCATAAAAAAAACTTACTATGCATGTTGAATATTTGGACTTATAGGAATTGATATAAATACACGTAAACGTCTTAATGCACGATAAATATGAAATACATGTAGAACACAATAAATTGATAAGTAACAAGGCAAATCATAAAATGTTAAAGTCATTGATGTTAATGTCCAGTTAAGAGTAACGGGAGTTGTTAAATGCGAATGATTGAAGCAAAATACAAAGTCGAGCGAGCGAAGTGAAGATGATTGATGTGCTAAAATAGTTTGACTTGTATATTGTTTCTCTTTTTCACAAAGTTTCGTATGATTTGCTACGATAAATCGAAGCGATCTAAGTTTAATGAGATTTTTTAATTGTTCCAATGCCGTTCGTAATTGTATTGACCAATGTGATGAGTAAAGTGCACATAGTTCAAGATTTTCAAATGTATGTCGAATGAAAAAGAAAGAAATAACAGATGTAAAATCACGAATTGAATCTTCAAGAGAAATTGAAACCACTTGATGTGCATGGCCGATAAGATAGGAAGAAAGAAATTTTATTTGGCGATGACAATGATATGAGGAAACAACAATACGAAGTGGAATTGAAGAAATTATCAATGTAATACGTTGATTGAGTGTTGAAAATGCCGTAAAAATATCAAGTGCATGTAAATAATCACATATTTCGAAGAATATTTCGTTAGATAAGTCTTCTAATCGAGTCATTTTTTTTCATTTCTATATTTGAAATGAAAGCGTATAATTATTACCTTCTTATATATATTGTCGGCGTATAGAAGACAATGTTGAATAGTCCAAAATTATCAATAAGCTAATCAAAAGTATGTGTGAGCAATGATTCGTCTGTGTGCATGACGGACGATCTAAGACAATGTAAAAAAAGAAAAATGCAATCGACTCATTAGGCTTTCTCTCATTTGGTAGCTACATTATTCGATGAAACAAAAGAAAAAAGAGTGTCCATGCGTGTCGAATGCATTATTCGACGTAATATCGAGTTCTATTTACTGAGTATTGTAGAAATCCACGGTCATAGTACCCTTCGAATAAATATTTGCATTTAAGAAATATCACATTATTCTGCTTTTTATCATCATCCATGACATAGAAATTTGGCGACTTTCGTCAACTACTCAATGTTTTATCCAAGAGCAAATGAAAATGATCGATTAATCTTGATATGATAAAGCTGCTTTCCCTTTTGTAAATACAAAAACCATATTAAAGTTCCTTTGCCATGAACAAGAGTTATTTGAAATCAATTATGACATACAGTTAATTTAGTTCTGAGATCGGCAACTCAGAGAGATACACCATCTCATCTAGATGGCATCATTCGAAATAGTTCAAGTGAGAATGATGTGTGCTGTTTTATTTTCGATTAATTTTAAATAGAGAGATACTTAAAATTGAGAAAACGATTTAAACTTTTTCTGTATTATTTTCACATTACTTTTGAGATGAAAGAAAAAAATTATATGTATATTTGAAAAGAATTACCGATCTGCAAGTAAAATTCAGCTTAGAAAAGACCTAAATAACGAAATGTGAAGAATGAATTTCTTCACATTTGATCAGTTTGAAGCTGTCGCTGTTTATTATTACAGAGCTCTGTGTTATAAATTCAAATTATTCGTAAACTAACGAAATTTGTACTCATTTGATGACTCTCGGTTTTTGAGTTTTATTCATTCCTTAGAAAAAGTGAAATAGTAAGACTAAAATTACTCATTACGGCCTCTGTTTACGAGCACCTGATGGCCACTGGATCACCAAACTGCTGAATCGGTTTGTTTCCCACAGCGAGATAAGTGTGAGGCCGTAAGGAATTCATGGAGTTATCTCGTCTGCTTGTGAAACAATTGTTGCTGAGCAGATCTTATAATGCATTTTAAATTCATAGCGCATTAATAGAAAATAAGATCAAAATGAATTATTGCTGGCACTCTTATAAACCAATCGATGTTGAAGAGTTTGTTGTGCGAATAACTATTACAATGTCTGTTTGTGTCTATAATGTATATAATAAATCTACTTTCAGTTAAGGTCTAATATTCTTTCAGATAGAATATAATTGTAAGAAAAAAGGAAAATAGACAACGAATTCAATCGATACTATATAAAAATTAGCATAATTTCGGACATAAATACAATAATCATTGACGAATTTATAGTAGCAATAGGATCTAACACTATCGTATTGAACAGCTAACATGGATGACGTGTTTTCGTAAAAGAACAGAAGATGTGAATAAATAACTTAACCTGAACTTATGATGACATACATACTTATATAGACTTTTCTTCATTCTACTATAATAAAGGAAATATTCTACGAAAACAAAGAGAAGTCGTTTGGCTAAATAATTATATCGTGTATAGAACTGATTTTCTCTATGTCAGGCAGATTTTTCTTTGACTATGCATCCACTTTTCAAATGAATTAACGATTCACTTTGTTTTATTTAACAATTGCTCAATAAAAACAGAAAAACATACATAGATGAAGTCATTCGAGATAAATTTCCAATGATTGTTTCTGGAGTATGACAACAATGCGATCTTTATTGAAGTTTCTGAATGGAAACGCTTGATGACGCTTTTCAATAACATGATCACGTAGATTTGAGTTGTCAAATACTATACCATTGACAAAATCTATTTTAAGATGAAGCAAA